TTATGACGTCATACTTTCAGTACTGGCAGTTAATTTCGGAACGCAGCCACATTCGAGATTTTCGGTAACACGCACTTTTTCTGGTAGGACTAGAACACCACATAGCGCGCGCTTCGCGCGCGCCACTTTAGCTTTTTCGTTGTACTATTTACAATTTATATTACAATATTCGTTTTTACAAATTATATTCCCAGCAAACACAATGTTACATGTAACATACATGTTAGTTGTAATTTCCTATTCAACAATGTAACTATTATATAACATGTATATAACAGTTATATTGTTTGTTGAGTAAGAAATTACAACTAACATGTATGTTATATGTAACATTGTGTTTACTAAGATTACAATAAATATCAAATTCATATGACGCGAACACAACCTGATTTGAAAACTACAAGAAGCACAAATCTAACCACGGCGAACAATCACCCACACAGGACAGAAGGTTTCAAAACGTTTTCAGAAAAATTTCAATGTTTCTTAAAGACTACTGAAAATTTTGAAACTTTTTTAAAATCTTTTTGAAAACTTCTGTACAATGTGAGCAATTAGCGTCGCGGAAAAGACTTCATCCGCTTCAATTCAAGATTTACTTAATACCCGGTTTCTTGACACCTTTCAATAGCTATCTTCCAGATAAAAGACTTTTTCGATATTCAATACCAGTACTAAAAGTCTATATATGACGCAAACTATATATTTTAAGTACTATATTTTTGTATACATATGCACAAAAAAAATATTTTAATTATCACATTTTATAATTTTGAAAGTTTTAACAACATTAAGCTTTTTAAGTTTTGGATTTAATGATTTCATTTTTCGCATCTCTAAATACATAATTGTTGTCATTCATGAAAAAATTCACGTAGAATCAAAATGAGCGAAAAATGAAAAGTGAAAAGTTCCGCTCGAAATTACGTAATCGTTGCCCAGACCCTAATAGGTCTAAAGTAAGCAACACACGGTGCTTGTTTTCATGCTAGATTGCTTGCTGGATGGAAATACTCTGTTTTGATTGATGCATTTCCATCCATCTTCAGAAACGCACTAATCAGAACAGAGTATTGCCGTTTAGCAAGCAGTCCAACACGAAAATAAGCACCGTCGTCGCTAGTTTA